TGTAGTAAGCTCTTTAACAGATTTTCACGCCCAGTCCCATGGGCATGCGCAGGAACCCCACCGTGCATGCCGTTGGAGGTGACGGATGCAGTTTGGCATTACCCATGTCCACTGTCCTTTTGCAAGCTACAAAGGCGCCATGGGAGAAACCTTCATCAGCCCCGGTGTCGACAAGACGACTGGACCATATGTACAGAGTCCAAGAGACGGGCCGAATTCCTATTCTCCCATCCTCAACCAAACTCTATGGTTGTAACATTCTTCTCAAAATCTAAACGAACACACTCTGCACCTTCAGACAGAGAAAGTAAAAAATTGGACGCCTTTGACAGACGCTTCTACTCCACCGGAGCATTGGGTGTCAAAACCACTAACTATCTGGACTGCATGAGCAGGTATCAATATACTCTCTGGGAAAGGTTCTCCGACCTATTCACCCACCTCCCAGAAGACAAGCTTCAGGCAGCCAGAATCATTCAAAAGGCGGTCATGGTGTTGGCAAAGCAGCAGATCAACACTTCAAAGCATGCCCTAGATGCATCTTCCAGGACGATGGCCTCTGCTATAGCACTGCGGAGGGATTCCTGGCTCCGCAATACGACTCTCCCTTTGGATACCAGGTCTTATGTTGAAGATCTTCTGTTTGACGGCCTTGGCCTCTTCAACACCACTACTGATTCCACACTCCAAGAATTAGACAAGAGCATAAAGGCTTCTCGAGCTCTAGGAGTGTCACCCTGTGCGAGACAACAATACCATCCCCGTACCTGGTCCAGGTCTTGGCAGAGGCGTGTGCCAAGTCGCCAGTCTCCAGACAGACAATGGAGACCACGTACGTCTTCGAGAGGCCAAAAACCTCCCTACCAAAAACCGAGGTTTGGATCCGGGCAACAATCTTCTCGTACCAAACAAGTCAAACCCTCCAAGCAGAGCTTTTGACTTCGCTGTCACCGAGTCAGTTCAAACCCGTCTATCACCCTTCCTTCATACTTGACGTCACATCACCTCGGACAAATGGATACTGTCCATCTTGACCCAAGGCTACCGTATCCAATTCCACCAGAACCCCATTACTCCTGTCATCGTCTCCACACCCCCTTCCCCACCTCTCCTAGAAGAGGTGTCCGTCCTTCTGCAGAAGGGAGCCATCGAACAGGTACCACCACAGCACAGGATTTTATTCCCGATACTTCACAGTCCAGAAGAGAGATGGAGGCGTTCGACCCATTTTAGATTAAAGGGCACTGAACTGTTTTGTAACCTACCATTGCTTCCACATGGTATCCTTACAGCAGATTATGCCACTCCTACAGAAACATGTCTGGATGGCCACCCTTGACCTCCAAGACATGTACTTCCACCTCACCATCCACCCCTCCCACCGCCAATACCTACGCTTCGCGATTGGTCAGCAGCATTACCAGTATACAGCCCTGCCATTCGGCCTGTCCAGCGCCCCAAGAGTCTTCACAAAGACTATGATTGTGGTTGCAGCTTTCCTTTGTCTCCGGCGTATCTCCATTTACTCCTATATCGAAGATTGGCTTTTGGTAGCGCCTTTCCAGAACGCCCTGGTCTCAAACATCACCGAGACACTGGCACTATTAGAAAATCTGGGCCTACAAGTCAATCAAGAAAAGTGTCAATTTAGTCCAGTCCAAAGAATAAAGTACATCGGCACTATACTAGATTCCACGACATGCATGGCTTACCTGCCTCAAGACCAAGCGGCAGACATCATTTCCTTAGCCACCGTCATCCGTACCCACCGTTCTGTCACTGCCTTCCAAATCCAAAGGCTGCCTGGCCTTATGGTTGCAACTACGCTGGTTCTCGTCTTTGCCAAACTGAAAATGCGTCGTTTACAACTGTGGTTCATCCGGAATTACAACCCAGCGAACAACACTCACACTGTCCTCCTATCCCCTCCTCCCAACATACGAGAGTTGTTACTTTGGTGGACTGCCCCTTCCAATATCTTCTAGGGAGCACCCTTCCACCCTCCGTCACCCCAAATCACCCTGACCACGGATGCTTCCCTGTTGGGATGGGGGGTGCACACATGATGGGTCTGTGCGTCGGGGGCAAGTGGAACACCCATGAGCAAGGTCGACACATAAACATCCTGGAACTGCTCACAATTCAGTTCACGGTCACGCGTTTCCTACCAATAATCAAAGGGAAAAGTATTACGGTCCTCACGGACAATACCACCGCGCTCAGTTCTATAAACAAATAAGGAGGCACAGTCTCCCTATGTCTCTGCAACCTCGCCATTCAGTTATGGGACTTTTGCATTGCCCACAACATGTTTTTGGTAGCCTCACACATCACAGGTCACCTGAATGTGCAGGCAGATCATTTAAGTTGCGCAAGGCTCAGTCTCCACGAGTGGGAGATGAACCTATCCTATCTTTTCCCACTCTTCCGCAAGTGGGGAACTCCCCTAGTCGATGTTTTCGCTACCAGAGCAAACAAAAAATGTCCCGTGTTCTGCAGTCGAGGCAGCAGGGACTCATATTCGCTCGGAGATGTTCTCCTTCTTCCCTGGTCTTCTGTACCTTTTCCCACCCTTACCCCTGCTTCTGAGAGTGGTACGCAAGATCATCCGAAATGGAGCAGACTGCATGTTGATAACACCGTGGTGGCCAAGACAGCCATGGTTCTCGACAGTTCCTGAGTTGTCAAAGGGAATTCCCTCCAGTACAGAACCTCCTCTTCCTGTCAGACTCCCCTCTCCTACATCATGACGTACCACGCTTGAAATTGACAGCGTGGAGAATAACGTCAAAGGTTTTTCGACTTGCGACCGAAGAACGGTACACTCCTATCTGGGATGGTTGTCCTCTTCCACCGAGTGCGCAGCTTCGGGAGGGACGCACATGGAGCGGTGAGGGAGGCCTGGGTATAAATGTAACACTAGAACCGGAAATATACCTATTGAATATGATCCCGAAAGGGTACAATAACCAGGACTCTTATATAATTATCTGTTATAACAGCTGCTAGACTATTAATAGCGCGACACTGGAAACTAGAAGGATTACCTACAAGAAAAGATTTGATAAATAAAATACTAGAACTAGCCAGAATGGATGATCTAAGCTTAATGTTGCAGAATAAGAATGAGAAGGTACATAAAAGGAGATGGGAAAAATTTATAAATGGATTGAAGATCAGACAGAAATGTAACATTCCTAATCTGTATTTGGAACGATAAGAGATGACGGACTCTGATATGTATGCAAACAAAGTAGATGAAATGTATGCAAATATAAAGCTCTAAAAATAAAAAAATTGAAAACGAAAAAAAAAAGGTTTTTCGACCCGCGTAGCCAATGTTCTACTGAACTCCAGGAAACCTGCTACATGAAGGTCCTACCATTACAAATGTTCTTCCCTAGGTGATGATGCCCCTCGAGCCTCCTCCGCAGGCCTCGAGAAAGTTTTCCAATTCCTCCTGTCCCTCGCTGACTCTGGACTTTCCCATTCTTCATTAAAAGTTTATTTGGCCGCGATTTCGGCCTACCATGTTCACGTCGACAGATGCACCATGTTTTCACATCTGCGCATGTGCGCGGATCTGGTCCTGGTTTCTGCACATGCCCGAGGTCTGGTCGCAAAAATCCGTTAAAAGAGCTTGCTTCACAGCATGTGCACACTAGATCCCATGGGTGTGAATGCACAGATGACCACTCGAAGATCATCAGTTACAGGTAAGCAACCTGTTTGTCATCCATATTGTTCCTGTTGGCCTACAGGTCAAATACCACTTACCCTTTATTTAACCAGTGCAGAGTATTAATGATCTAAAATAAACCCAGTTGGGATGCAATTTGTTTCTTTTTTTTTCTATACTGCACTTTCCCATTAGTTTATAAATCAACAGGTCACTATGACCTTTATGCTATTCTGTTTGAACGTATCTTAATGCACTGTGACTCACGGCCTGTGCTGGTGATCTGCATGATAAATCTGTCCCTTTAATTCGCCATACAGTTATGGGACTTTTGCATCGCCCACGACATCTTTTTGGTAGCCACGCACATCCCAGGTCACATGAATGTGCAGGCAGATCATCTGAGTCGAGCAAGGCTCAGTCTCTATTTTTCTCACTCAGCTTAACCTTGTTTCTGTTCCATTCTTTGCACTTTCCTTTACTTTTGTCCTCCCAGTTCAAAAAAGAGAACAAGTCCCTGTATCTTCTTCTCAATATCCTCTCCTTTGTGCTTTGGGGAAGTTGACAGCCTAGTGGAAGGCCTGTCTCCTCGTAAGCTGGCATGGCACTGTTCCACTATCTTAAAGGTATAAAGTTATAAACCAAGCATTCTCCATCATAGTCTTCTGTAGTGTGTACATTCTAGCTTTTAAAATTATATGTTAAAAGTAAACAACCAGCTATCAAAATTAATCTGTTTTGCTTATTTCTTTCTTCTAAGTTTCGTTTTATCAAAAAGCAGTATAGTTTTTATAAGCTTAAGGGCAGCAGCCCCTAATTCTGCTTCAAAGCACGACAATTATGCCAAGCTCTTCGAGATGATGTCAGAACTTCCCCAATCTTTATTTTTGTTGTCCTCTGCATCTTTGTTGTCTTCCACTTTCTCAGATGCTTCTGTTGCTTTCTGTTGTTGCTTTAAGATCTTCTCCGCTTTAAGCACAGGGTCAATCAGCTTCACTATCTTCTCTGTTGTTGCTGTGTTTCCTTTGAGTTCTTTTTGCAACGTGTCAAACTTGTCATTAAGGTTGATCATCTGGTCCAGCAGAGGGCGCAAAGCAGCCGCGATCATTTTAGGAAATGTATAGAAATATTGTTTTTAAATTCTCATGCCTTCTCTTGTGATAACATTCTCTGTGTGTGTGTGTTTCCTGTTGCAGGCCAAATGGTGAGACCAGATGGCCTGAGCCACCTAATAGCCATGTATACCCACATTCCTTAACACCTCTCTGCTAAGAGCCAGACTTGAAGGCTCCTAGCTTACATAGGCCATGTCACATACACAATGGAGAAAGCAAGAGGTGGATCACCAGACTGTAGGCAGGGCCTCCAAACTTCTAGCCAATCCTCACACACCTGATGTGCAGCTATGGCAACCAACAATTGGGCACGCACCCTTTCCGCTCGTGTTTGGCTGATGGCCACAGCTAATTATGACTGGGAGGGGGGTATAACTCCGTGGTTCTCTATGGGAGGGCTGCTGCTCTCTCTTTTCTCTCCCCTGCTTTGCTTACTTTATTGCCTCCTGGGATGCTGACTTTTGAAACAGAGCAACCTTTTGTTACTGTGAAGCTGTATCTCTGAACAGATCTGGACTACCTCCTTGCACAAGATGGGATTTCTCTTCAAAATCCCTTGGTGTACCTACCTGTGTTGTTATGCAATGGACTAGTTTGGACTATTGAGACTCATTTGGGTAACTATGATTCTTCTTAAATGTGTAGTAAGGGCAAATAGCCATAGGTTTTGTTATTTTAGTATCCTCTAGTAGTCTTTTTGCTATGCTTGGCACTGAATAAAGATCATTCATAAAATTGTAATTGTCTCTGATGCTGTACTTGAACTCCAAGGCTAAATCTCATGTCTAACACTGACCACACAGAGCTACCACTGTGATAGTAATTGTTAAGTCCCAGAGGCCAGCTGAGAGTTTGGAATTTCTGCTCTTAGGCTGTGTGGGGACCCAATGAAGAGATTCTGGTGACAAACTGTTGTGAAGCCTCGAGAGAGTACATACTGTCTTGTGGAATTTGTTTTCCTGTGCTGAAATGCAGGATTCCCTCGCACCCCTGGACTGGGCTGAGTGGGTTAATCCTGTACAGGAAAGTCTATGGTTACTTCCAGTTTAATGGCCGGCGGTGATGAGCTGGCAATACCTGTTATTAGTTTCCCTTTGGCTGACATTTTTTCTGCTTGCTGCATCATTGTTTACATTAAGAAGAAAGTTTTCAAGTCTCTGAGAAGCTGGTATTCTTGCTAGTCTGCTCCATACTGCATCAGACTTTTGCTTCCTTCAAGCCGCCCTCTCAGTCCCTGCTTTTTAAACTCAGTTTTATCGGGATTGGGTGTTCCCCTCCCCCTCCACTTGTTTCGGGCTTTGGAGCAGCTTTACTGCTATCGTTTAAGCGATAGCTTGTTATGACATGGATCAACTCACATTTTGCTTGCGCTTCATCAGAAGGTAGGAAATATCATTTTCTGTAGATCACTTGCGTGCTCTACCCGGTGTGCGCCTCTTAGTGCCATCACTGGCTCTGTGTCACGAGAACCTATCGCGGCAAGGAACCTCAAACCCTTGGCATAAGCCTCAGGAGAGGGACCTCACAAGCCCCAGGCTATGAGCCCCCTAGCCTGGGAGTTGTTACCAGTGTTATTTCAGTTTGGGAGTGGCCTGCATCTGATATAAAATGGAATAAGAACAATGTCCAGAACCCAAATTTTAGGGTTTTTTGTATCTCTCTAAGCTACTATAATTGTCGCCATTATGTGCTTATTAGCAGAAAGGTGAAAGAGTAATTTCCTAAAGAAATAAATATAAATAATTACAATTCTCAGTATGGCCCCATCTGTGGATACTTATATCTGTAGATTGCAGCCATGGGCAGACAAGACAGATCTTTCTTTGGAGGATAGTCCCCCAAAGTCTGATTTTTTTAAAAAAGAAGATAAAATGGGAGGTTAAAATCCTGCAAAATAATAAAAGGAACACTGTAAGGCTTACTTAGACAACTGTATGATGGCACTGGGATTGCTCTATTCCTCTAATAATAACCAACTCAATTTTTTGGAAAAGACTCTGCATGAACTGTGTTGTTTTCAGGAAGGTGATGTTATCTTGGGGGTGTGTGTGTGATTTGAACTGCATCATTTCCCAATAAAAAAGGGAGGAAGCCCAATCCTAGTAGTTGAGAACTAGCCCAAATTTTGTCAAACTTCCATTTGGTGGACATCTGGAGAAATCATCATCCCCTATTATTTGATCAGACATCAAATATATACCAGAATAGACTATATATTGGTCTCCTCATCTATATTAAACATGATCCATTCAACTAACATGGCATGCGGATTTGGTCTGACCACTCTTTAGTTGATTGTTTACTGTATGGAGATGAAAAACAAACCAAAAAAGCAGAGTAGTACTTTAACACATCTTTATTAAACAACGTGGGCCTGGCAGGCAAATTGGAACAGGACATTTGAAACTATTTTAGGGATAATATTCAGGCTGATTTTACCCCTACAGTTGTATGGGATGCTATGAAACGAGTAATAAGGGGTATGGTTATTTCAAAATCTGCATTCCTGAAAAAACAAAGAAATGAAATCAGAATTATTGGAAAAAAATAAGGCTTTGAAGAAAATTCACAAAGAAAAGGGTAGCAAAAAGATCTATTAGAAACTACTGGCTGAACATAGGCTGTTAAGAGTCCTTGGAAACATCCAGAATAAAAAAATATATGTTATACCTAAAGCAGAAATATTGGCAGAATACATCAAGATCACTGAAGTTACTAGCCTAGTGTGTAAAACATAGAACCCTAAATAGAAACATCTTGCCTACTGTGTGGTAAAGATGGTAAATTGTAAACTTGGTCTTCAGAAATATTAGAACATTCAAGGGAATACTTGGCTCTCTATAGTCCCAAAGTCATCTCTGAGTCTATGATTAAGGAATTATTTTCATTACATTCAGTTACTAAAAATTTAATAAAGGAACACAAAATCTTTCTTGATAAACCTTTCACAGCCCTGGAAGTGACCAACACAATTAAGTCACTGAAGATCAATAAAAGCCTTGGTCCCAACAGTTACCCTTCAGAATTCTATAAGAACTTTTACTCCAGTTTGGCTGAACTGCTTGCTGAAGCTTGTAACCAGGTCTTCAGAATAGGGATTTTACCCCCATCCTGGTCAGAAGCTATGGTGGTAGTATTAACAAAACCAGGTAAAGACCCAACTTCACCCATATCTTATAGACCAATCTATTTGCTGAACCATGATTTTAAGATATTCACAGCAACCCTTGCAAGGTGCCTAAACACATTAATTAGAACTTACATTTCACCAGACCAGGTTGGTTTTATGCCAGAGAGAGAGATACACAGACAATATTTATAAAACGTTGAAATCATTGACTATTGCAAATTTAGGAATTCTACAGCTACACTACTCTCCCTGGATATTGAGAAAGCTTTTAGAATCCTTGACATCTCTTCCCTTAAAGACCTACTTGCATGTATGAATTTTGGCAATTCGTTCATGAAAGCAGTAGAGGCCATTAATGCTGAAGTTAATAATACGTATTCAGAAACAATCAATTTAAACGGGGACACGCTAGGGATGCTCATTATCCCCATTGCTTTTTGCAGCGGCGATAAAGCCACTTGCTTCGGCTATCAGAAACAATGCTAACATAAGAGGTGTGGAGATTGGGAATAAAAGCTTTAAACTGAGGCTCTTTGCGGATGAACTTTTACTATACATAACTGACCCTTTAACCTCTCTCCCAGCACTTCAGGAAACTCTTGATGGATTTGGCAGAGTGTCTGGGTTGAGCGTCAACCACTCTAAATCCCTATTATATCTATAAACATATTGGGGTGGCTAGCTACTATGATTACAAATAAGTATCCATATCAATGGGTTAAAATGTCTTTACCCTGGTTTGGGATTAAAATCCCACTGAATTTCAATGATCTGGTGAGTCTAAATGAAGGAATACTTCTGGAGGGTATGACACAACAAATTTAAAAATGGGAAAAATTAAATCTTTCCTAGATGAACAGGTATAATCTTGCCAAATCATTTTTGCTTCCAATGTTTGTTTTTTATTTTAGAGTGATACTAGTGATAATAGTGTCCAAAACTTTGAAAAATTGGCAGAATAAACTAAATTCATGTGGAATAATAAAAGGCCACTCATAGCTGTCAGCACAATGTGTAGCCCTGCTAAACAAGGGAGCTAGCTTTTCCAGACTTGAATATTTATTGCAAAGTTATAAAGTTAACCAGTGTTCTAAAAATGCTTAGGACAGAGAATCTTTTAGATTGGGTAACAATACAATTGGAATATACTTATGCAAAACAATCTCGAATAAGAGAAAATTCAGGATTGAGGTGATCAAGGTCAATTCCTACTCGTTGTTTTGCACTCTTGGGATGCTAGGAGGAAAAAATTGTTACCACCAGTGTCACGTTTCACATCATTCCTGAACCAGGACTGGTTTATGCTAGAACTAGACAATAACTTTTTAAATTCGTTGTTAATGTTACAAGGCTGGTAGATCTTGCTTCAAGACACTTTTGATAAAGTGAAACTGTAGGACAAAATTGGGGAATCAATACCATGGTTCCTCTATTTACAATTGCAAAACCTCTGTGATAGGATGTGGCCAAAATTTTGTCTATTCCCTTAACAGAGTTTGAATATATACTCCATAATTATATTAGTAGCAACCGTGGACTGATTTCTAAAATGTATCAGATTTTAATAAAAATGGAAAATAAAAGCCCTATGTCATACCAGAAATTATGGGAGTCAGATGGTGAGATGATGCTGTCGGAGAATGTTTGGTCACAAATCTGGAATTTAAACATTTTTTTCTCCTACATAATAAATAAAGAAGAGTAAAATTCGTTAAGATTGTCCCATTGGTATCAAACACCACAGCAGTTATCACGAGTTTTTACAGTGTGCTCACCTCTCTGCTGGAAGGAGTGTGGAAAGGTGCACATTGTTGGTGGCAGTGTGAGAGAATTGAACAATTCTGGAAGACAATTTTGGACCAAATATTCTTTATACCAGGAAACATTGTCCCATTCACAGCAGAGATATTATTTCTTAATTATTGGAAAGATAGTACCGTCCAAAATATTAGGACAGAGTGGATCGTATACTTTCTAATAGCTGCCAAAACATCTATAGCTGCTAATTGGAAATGCCCGAATGCACCTAACGCTTCATATATGGCGATGTAAAGTATGGGAGATGTACATAATGGAAAGAATGACATATAAGATAAATCAGTTTGAGAATAATCCTGATTCCTCAAATTTTGTAGAACTGTGGCCAATAATATTGAACTACTTGATGCAGATGGGAGTGGTCCCCTCCAAAATGAAATACTTAACTGAAATTCCATATTAAGGATGTTTATAAGTTGCAAGATCTGATATTTTGTATTGTTAATTTACAGTTGTCTTTATTGTTTGTTATTTTTCTGTGTGTAATGTGTTTCATGCTTGTATATTTGTTGGTTGTGCTGAATACAAGTTGTCAACGAAAAAGAAAGAAACAGATGCTTTCAGTAGCCATTCCTAGCAATCACAGCAGTGTCTGAAGCTTGGTTTCTACCAGGAAAAGGCAGGGGGACAGGGAACAACCTTTTCCAGGGCAGTTTTGGCCTTTGAAGGAGGAGTCACTGGGGCCAGGCATGGCAGCAACCATAGGGTGACTTGCCACCACACAACTTGCTTGACTCAACTTGACTCAGTAGCAGTCAACCTACAAAAGCCAGTGTAATGGTTGGAGCTTCAAACTAGGATCTGGGAGACCTAGGTTCAAATCCCTGCTCTGCTGTGGAAGATCACTGGGTGACCACCTTGGGCCAGTCACAAACTCTCAGCCTAACCAGCCTCACAGGATCTTGTGATGACAAAATGGAGGAGAGGAGAATGATGAAAGCTGCTTTGGGTCACCATTATGGAGAAAAATGGGGTATAAACAAGCAAATAATATAGCTGAAGAGGGGAGCAGATAAAAGGTAGGCTGGTTGGTATGTGAGAAGGAAAGAGAGAAAGGTGAGGTTATGAAGACTCAGGAGGAGGGTAAAAGAAAAGAGAGAAGAGACAAGATAAGGGAAAAATGAGATCGCCACATTCAAGTCTTTGGGGGTTCCCCATTGTACAGCTGGCCTAGACTCAGCTGCACAACTTGGCCAGAGTTTCCCGGGGAGAGACTGTGGGGGAAGGGAAGTAGGGAAGGCTTGTAGGCAGATAAAGATGGGTTGGGTGATGGGTGAGAAGGACAAAAGGAAAGAAGAAAGCAGGAAAAGGCATGAGTCTATAGGGGCTTTCAGGGAAGGGAAAGAAGAAATAATGGGGGAGGAAAAATTAGATGCCCCCGCACAACTCCTTGTGGGCCTCTGCTTGCATTAATACTAATTCCTTTGAGCCAAAGCTAGGGATGTAATATTCAGATCTTTTATGTAAAGTTCTATTGTTACAATTTATTCCATTTAGATTCTGGGCCTCAATATTGAAATAAGTTGGAATTTTATAAGATCAGATTCGTTCAGTATATTAGTAATGCTAATTTTCTTTCTTTACCAGATACTGAACGTTTTTGTACTATTGTGTATAAAGAAGTCTGTGAAAACTACGGAAAGATTTTCACCTGGAATTTGAAATCTTCAGTTATGGGTAGAAGAGGAATAGATGGAGCAGAGATCATGCGAAATACCCTAGAACTTCCAGTCACCAAAGAAGAAATACTGAATGAATGTGAACTTAGGCTAAACAAATTATATCCCGCATGTGCATTGATGCCAGGTTGTATTTCAATATTGAAATATGTAGAAATCATAGTACTTAATACTGTCTGCCCAATTTCTTCCACAGATTTTTTCCCTCATATATGGTTGTTTTCTGAGTGCTGCGGATGGTTTGAAGGAACTTGCCACTTTAATTAAACATCATTCTCAAGATAAGGACACTCTAAATAACTTGTCTGTTGTGTGCTGGTCTTCCTTTACCATGGTAAAATCCTTTTCAATAGTTTTATCTTGGTAATGGCCATAGACATTCCAGAAAAATGCATTGTTTTCACTCATTTTTTAAAAAAAGAAACATATTTTAATTAAAAAGTCTAATGTGAAAGATTTCCCCCTATGCTTTACAATTATACTGAGTCATTGTGCAAGATCAGAGGAATAAATATGATGCACTTTTCAGTAATCCCATCTGTTATCATGTGAAATAAAGACAGGTGCATAACATGAATTTTTACAATTCCTATTATGTGATTCCACTGAAGATGTAACATATTAATGCTGTTACTGGGACATTCACACAGGACTCAGTAAGTTCATTGACAGCTGACATTTCCCGACTAAGCACTTAACCCACCGAGCTGTGGCTGTCCAAGTATAAAGGCCCTATATCCCTCTTGAAGCGAACAGTCCCTTTTATTCACACCATGTAGTGCTGAATAGTTACACTAAGGAAGTGATGATGATGAAAACCTGTTGAAACCTGTTTTTTTTTTTTTTGGTTTTTCCCCAAGATAACTATGGGTGCTTTCACACACACTAAATAATCCACTTTCAATGCACTTTGCAACTGGATTTTATTGTGTGAAATAGCAAAATCCACTTGCAAATAGTTGGTGAAATGGATTGAAGCTGAATTATTTAGCATGTGTGAAAGTACCCTATTAGTAATTTCTGATAGACAAATGGATGGTAGAAATACCTAAAAACAGATTCTGTGCAAAATTGCCATCACTTTCAAAGACCACTTCATATTTACTCCTGCTGCCTTTTATTCTGAGCTAGTTCCTAGGGACATTATAGAACCATTTAGTTCATAGGGTTTACTGTTAGGAATAATAACTTCACATTTTTGTTGAAATGTGACTAATTTGCAAAATATGTGTATCAGTTTCCTGCTGCTTTCTGGTACATGAGGGCGTCCCCTCACCCCTGGTCATTATTCAAAAGGGGGGCAGATGAAGATGCAAAGTAACTTTTTTAACCAGCCCCTAGTTCTAATGTCTCACATGTATTTTAAAAATAATTTATATTTTTTTAAAAGTCAGAGAAACTGGGTAATTAGTTAAGTTCTCCAGTGGTCTAAGGTGGGGCAGTCTTCACTTCTAGGATGTCTCTCCTCCTCTCCGCAGGCAGGGTCATTCAATTTTGCAATCCCGGAGTGGAGGGGCTTCTCCTAGAACTCCAGTTTTTTTGGCCCTGCCTTAGCAGCAGGACATCTTCATCAACGCTTCCAAAAGTAGTTTTGGATCTAGTGTTAAGATCTCCAAAGCTTTCATTTTGTAATGGTTATTGGGTAGTATTTTTAAATACATATAGTCAGTCTTTTTCTCAATATTTGTTGTTCTAAAACATAATTTAAAAACTCTCTTTCTACAATCTTATCTGTTTAGACAGTTATTCATGTATTCCTGTACAGCATGCCTGCAAAGAGGGAAAGTGGGAAATATTATTTTAATTAATCCATTATGTTATGAGTCATATATTCTTTATCACTAACAGCCTCACAGAAAGTACCTGTTTTTAATTTAATTTAACAGGACTGTTAACAGAGAGTTGAAAGGGAATAAAGTATTAAGACAAATGTTGTGCATCCATGTACATTTCCCTAGTTTCCTTAGCAATTCAGTTTTTCCCTTCACCTGGCCTTTCGAATTTTTGGGTAAAAATCCTGTCTTAATTTGCTAAATTGATGCTTATTTCAATAAAAGTGTGATGGCTTCAACATAGTAATTCCATTACAGATGGAATATTCAAACAAGCTGTATAAAGACACTGCATTAGTTATGCTTCATGGGCATGAAAAAGAGGCACAAAAGTAACCTGTCAGTTTGTAGATTTGTGAATTATAAAATTCTACTATATTTTGAGCATGCAGTAGGTGTTTTCTACTTTCCAAACTGATATGTGGCCTTTGAAGTTCAAGGAACTTTTAAAGATCCAAGAAACCATACCATTTTGTGTGCCACACAAGTTGTTAGATAACTTGATAGAATTTGTCAGTGTGCTTGGCTTTCATTTATGTTGTAGTGTATTATGGCACACTCATGATGGAAAATAAAAGATATAAATTGAAGAATCTTGCTTATTGAAATAATGACTGCTATTCAGATTTCAGCAGAATCCCAAGAGAAAAGGGTAGAAGCACCAGGGAATAAAAGAGGGAGAAAAAACTAATTTAACTTGTTCTATGTTATGTGTTTTTTTGAAACTACCAACAGGACATGCTGAACTGTTTCTTTTTGAAAGCTTCTAGAGTCCCCTGACAAACACTTTTTTGTTTGTTTGTTTTTGTATGTCTGGCTTTTTTTAAAAAGTGCTTTAGTTTGACATGTGTGATTAATCATTCTTTTGTTTAAAGCTGCTGACATCTAAAGTTGATCATTTCAGCTTCTTTAACTGTATTAGCAATTTGAGGTAGGTAGCCCTGTTGGTCTGCAGTAGACTATCAAGGCTTCAGGCTAGGGTGTAAGATTTCCAGGATATAAACTCCCTATTTATCTTTATTTACTTCCATACAAACTAATATATATATAATATAATATGATCATTTTTATGAAAGCAAAAGCAAAGTAAAGCAGTACTAATAATTATACTAGGAATATAACTCATCTATATAATCAATAATAATAATCTTTTTCCAACAACTGTTTGATAAAACCGTAGAACATTACACCTGAATGTTTTCCCTGTTGTGGCCTATAACGGCCATCTAGACTGGCAAGGCTGAACACAACAGAGATGCTTGTTTGATTGTAATGTTGATGATGTTTTCCTTGTATAGTTTTAACAAAAACTTTTCTGAGTGACTAATATCTTAGAGGTGGCAAAATTGTTAGCAAGTAGAAAGGCAGTTTTCTTATACATCTATGAGATCTGCAAGCTATGTAGTATGTTACTATATATATATATAAACATACAATAGTTCCAAACTCTATAATGGTTCAAATGAGCATACACTTTCCTCATGTTTACTATTCCAAAACACAGTTTAAAAATTCCAGTATTCCAAGAATTTGTCCTCGTGCAGATTCTCACCACCCAAGATACTTTTATAATTCTAATTTAGTAAAATAAGTGATCTTCCAAATTCTATAAAGCCGTTCAAATATTGTAGAGACCTCCACATGCTTCCAGTATCTGGCAGTGCACATTCTAGCAGCAATTATAAGATTGGTAACCAACTCCAAATCTGTATCTTTGATCATTTCTTTAGAATAGCAAAACAGAATGACTTTGGGGTCAAAGGGGATTTCATAACCAATAATCTCATGAGTTATTTCCAATACTGAGAACCAAAACTTCTGTACTCCAGTACATTCTCAAAAGAAGTGGAATTGGTATGCCCCTGGAGAATGACGTCTTCAACAAATATCTATGGGCATATTGTAAATTTGATCCAATTTATACAGGGTTAGGTACCAATTGTATAGGATCTTATAAAAGTTCTCTTTACAGTCACTGGAGATCAACTTCTTTGGTATTCTCTCCCAAATCCATGCCCACTCACTAGTTGTTATCTCTTCTCCCAGCCATCTTTTTCATTTATTTATTTTTTTAGAAGCTAATGTTGGATCAGGCCAATGGCCCATCCAGTCCAACACTCTGTCACACAGTGGCCAAAAATACCAGGTGCCATCAGGAGGTCCATCAGTGGGTCCAGGACACTAGAAGCCCTCCCACTGTTGCCCCTCCAAGCACCAAGAATACAGTGCATCCCCGACCCAGCCTGTGAGTTCCTATCTATACCTTGTGGTTAATAGCCACTGATGAACCTCTGCTCCATATGTTTATCCAGTTCCCTCTTGAAGCTGTCCATGCTTGTAGCCGCCACCACCTCCTGTGGCAGTGAATTCCATGTGTTCATCACTCTTTGGGTGAAGAAGTACTTCCTTTTATCTGTTCTAACCCGACCACTCAGCAATTTCATGGAGTGCCCGCGAGTTCTTGTATTGTGAGAAAGGGAGAAACGTACTTCTTTCTCTACCTGCTCTATCCCATGCATAATCTTATAAACCTTGATCATGTCACCCCTCAGCTGTCGTTTCTCCAAACTAAAGAGCCCCAAGCGCTTTAACCTTTCTTAATAGGGAAAGTGTTCCAACCCTTTTATTATTCTGGTTGCCCTTTTCTGCACTTTTTCCAATGCTATAATATCCTTTTTGAGGTGTGGTAACCAGAACTGTACACAGTACTCCAAATGAGGATGTACCATTGATTTATACAGGGGCATCATGATACTGGCTTTGTTTTCAATTCCCTTCCTAATAATCCCCAGCATAGTGTTGGGCTTTTGTATTACAGTCACACACTGTCTTGACATTTTCATTGAGTTATCTACTATGACTCCATGATCTCTCTCTTGTTCAGTCTCTGCCAGTTCAGACCCCATCAACGTGTATTTATAGTTAGGACTTTTTTCTCCAATGTGCATCAGTTTGCACTTGGCCACATTGAACCCCATTTGCCACGTTGACACCCACTCGCCCATCCTTTACAGATCCCTTTGGAGTGCCTCACAATCCTCCCTGGTTGTCACCACCCTGAACAACTTCATGTCATCTGCAAATTTAGCCACTTCACTGTTTACTCCCAACTCCAAATAATTAATAAACAAGTTAAAAAGCATCGGACCAAGTACTGATCCCTGCGGTACCCCACTGCTTACCACCCTCCACTGAGAAAATTGCCCATTTATACTCACTCTCTGTTTCCTATTAATCAACCAATTTTTGATCCACAAAAGGACTTGTCCTTTTATCCCATGACTATTGAGCTTAC